GCATGGCTCCCCCAATCACAACGAGTGTTATATATTGTACTTATATCTTTTGGTAACCCTGTGATCTGCTTGTGTTCTAGGTTTTCTTCAAGTCATGTTCTGTGGAAGTTTACTAAAAGAAAATTCTTCAAGCTAAGCATCCAATAAATCTATAAAGCTTTGGTAGTAAATTCAAAACATAATACTGCACATTTCAAAAACGTTAAAAAAAGCTTTCAAATGTCAAATTTTCTCGAAATCCTTTTTTCAAAAAGCTTAAAGTGCCTATCACCCTTCTGACAATATTTACAGTATTGATTCTACATGGGGTAAGATGTCGAATAACCTGAAATAAATTCATAGTTTGAGTGCGGCTTCTTGAAGATATGAAGGTTTTTCCAGGTCATATGCTAATGCGGTGACGTATGAGGAGGCATTTATGGTTATTTGTTGTTCCTTGTAATTCGAAACACCGGCTTGTATGTGAAAACTAATTGCATTCATTTCTATAAGAGCAATGGGCAAAACAATGACGTATTTCAAATTTAATTTATCTGTGCCAGTAAGGTTTTGTATGTTAAATGATTACTCCTCATACGTCACAACATTAGCATATGACATGGAAAAACCTTTAAAACTTCAAGAAGCCGCACTCAAACTGTGAAATTTTTTCGGGCTTTTCCACATCTTGCCCCATGTAGAATCAATACTCAGAATATTGTCAGAAGGGTGATAGACACTTTAAAATAAAAAGCACTTTCTGACTAATTTACTTATTGACCTTACTAACTACTAATATTAATCATTGTTAATATCTAACYATCTTAAAGATGATATTAACAGTACCTCTCAATTTCCGTAATAACTTCTAATAAATAAACCATAATAATTTTTAGAGATCTTTGCTTAAAATTGAAATACCTCTAAATGCGTGATAAGAATTTATCCTTCTTAATTTCTACCTAACACCCCTAACCTCTAATAATCTCTRATGTTATCTAATAATATATTCTAATTTTCTAATATTCCTATCKGTTTTACCTTAGAATGAAATCATTAAACCCGTGAAAYAGATATTAGGCGAATACAYTTTAGTAGACCCTAATTCCATTGTTTTCTTTTGTGTCTTTTTGACTATTACACGTTGACTAACATGGTTTTTTATCTCACGGGTTACATTCCTTCACTCTAGCTTCATGGTGATTATACTAATGACCTCTAATAACCTCTAATGTTAGGTAATATTATCTATCCTAATATCCTATTATTTCTATCTGCAATTATACTAATAATCTCTAATAATCTCTGATGTTATCTATCCTAATTTCCTATCATTTCTATCTGTAATTATACTAATAACCTCTAATAATCTTTAATGTTATCTAACAATATCTATCCTAATTTCTTATTATTTCTATCTGTAACTATACTAATAACCTCTAATAACCTCTAATGCTATCTAATAGTATCTATTCTAATTTCCTGTTATTTCTTTCTGTAATTATTCTACCAACCTCTAATAATCTCTAATAATTTCAAAGATTTTCTAATATCCTTCAATTTTCTACTGTTCCTATTTGTTCTATCAAAAATACTAATATTGATCTTCTAATGACCTCTAATATTTTCTAATGTTGTCTAATAATATCTCCTAATTTCCTCTAATAATCTCTAATAATCTGTAATGTTATCTAATAATATCTTCTTATTCC